TAGAAAACAAAGCTAAGGTACTGTTGGCTACATTTGGTCTTCTAACAATCAATCCCATAAATCTCCTATTGGGAGTGGATATTTTCCCCCTTCCCTTCCCTCTATCACTCACTTCTGGCCCTCACAAATACCTGAAAAACCTCACAACCTGTTCTAAAAAGGCTCTCCCTTGGGTTTCACATTTTCACAGTAAATATGAACAAGTAGGCATTTATCCACCCTGATTTGTTGTTTGGTAATTGCTTAGCAAAATACCTCAAGTTTCATCCACATGTGAAAGCAAGACACCTTATTGCCAACATCATGCTTCTGGCTTGGCATTCCGTCAATGTACACACTGCTATTGATAATTACAGATCAAGAGTTTCTTCCCTTTCTATAGCACAGTGAAAGCTACTGAAGAACCGCATTAATGTCAAGTGCCATTACTCAAGGCAAGCTGAAATCCCCAAATCCTTTCCATAAAAAAAAAAAGCAATGTAATCCTCTTAAACTCATTTAGCACTTTGAAATCTCTAGTCTTGTCTGCTTAATGCCAGTCTTTCGATAGTGTAGTTTTCTAATCGCCAAAATTTGGCATGGCTGCCTGGCTTGCCCACCTTCTGCTCTGCATCCTCACCAACTCTGTATTTTTAATACTTCAAAGATCAGTGACTTGAACCCCTTCTACAGAGCTGAGTGAACAGTCAAGGAGAAGGAGGACTGAAAAGGGGCCATCGGGTTGGGCAACTAAGAGGTTGTTGTTACCTTTGGAGAGAGCAGCTTCAGTGGAATGATGAGATTGGAAGCCAGACTGCAAAGAGGTAAGTGAATGAGACAAGAGGAGGCATTTCTTATAGACAGCTTTGTCAAGGAGTTGAGCTACAAAAGGGAGAAGAGATATGGGAAGGTATCTAGTAGGGATGGATAGATCCAGTGAGGTTTTTTGAGGATGGGAAAGCCATGGGCATGTTGACATGTGAAAGGGAAGCAGTTGGTAGACAGGAAAAGACTGAAGACAAATGAGACAGTGTGGATGAGAGAAGAAACAATCTGCTGGAAAGAGGACAGGATGGAATGGGGTACAATGGGATGGAAATGCTTTTATACTTTTGCATGGAGAAACATTTACCTTGGCAAGAAAGTGAAACGAGTGAAGGAGGAGAGACAAGTGGAAGGCATCCTGAGAATAGGAGGTGTGACAGAGAGAAGAGGAAGCTCACAGGGAGGGTCCCAGTTGTTTCAGTGAAACATGCGGCAATTCCTCACCCTCAGAGAAGAGGGTGAGAGCTGGGATGAAAAGGTTTGGAAAAATTGCAGCAGTGCACGGGATACCGAGGAATGTAGGGACGTGAAAAGTATCTTCTTGCCTCCTTCAGGGTCTACCTGAGATCACGTGTGATAAGAGGGAAGTGCACCCATTCAGCAGCACATGAGCAAAGGTGGCAAAGGGTGGCATTAACCCAAGGATGAGGCAAGACCTCCAACAGGAAAGGCGGACAAGATTCTAGAGGGAAGAAGACAGAGCAGAGCTGGCCAGTACGTGAGTAATGAGGTGGGAAAGGACGGAGGGATAGAAGCACAGAGGTCACAGACAGGAGAACAAGTGCTGGGGGTGCGAGGCAGAGAGAGGAGGAATGAGCACAGACTGAGTTCAGGCCAAGCATTTCAGAGTTCATGAACATGGAGGCTGGGCATGGGCGAGTGACAACAAGATCAAAGACATGGCTTCTCTGCAGCAGCAGTACGGTAAAGGAATAAGTCACAGAAGACAACAAAGTTGAGGAACGAGAAGATGAGGGTGTTGGAAGGAATATTAATGTCTCTGGAACTGAACCCTAACATACAGATTGATGGCACGCACTCTCATCAGCCAGAATATGTTATAATCCCAGACACACAAGGAGTGTAAGGCTGGACGTGCCAGAACACTCTGGGGACACTGGGAACGTCACCATTTAGCCCTCCCTCTGCGGGAAGGCCAACACCCCTAGTCCACACTCTATGCACACTCATGATCATAGCCTACTGATGCACACCACATAACCCTCCAAAAACCATAAGAATGATGACGATGATGACGATGTAAACAGAAATATCTAGGGGTGACATACTGCACAGAGCACCGGGCCTGGAGTCAGGAAGACGTGAGTTGAAATCTAGTCTCAGACACTTATTAGCTGGGTGACCCTGGGCAAATCACTTAACTCCTATTTGCCTCAACTTCCTCATCTGCAAAATGGGAATGATGATGGCACCTCCCTCCCAGAGCTGTCATGATGATCAAATGACATTCTATTTGTAAAGCGCTTGGCACAGAGCCTGGCACAAAGTGAGGGCTATGTTAACTATATTAGCTATAGTAAACTATGGTCCTTAAATATCGACTACATTTAAAGTTTAAAAGTACAAGTCACTTCTCTCAGGATTCACAAAAGTCAGCACTGAAAGACTGCCAGGTAATATTTTCAGTCAAATACTTTGAATATTTAAGAGCTGCGCATTAAGGGATAGCGGCCACACCACAAGTATTTATTAAGTAACGGTCTGCTTCTGAGCATCGGTGTTCTAAGCACCGTGAAGTGGGCTGAACATCAGTTACTTTTCTGGAAGAGAATAAACTGCAATGAGGAAAAAATGCAAGAGAAGAGAAGTTACCTATGTGCCATAGAGGATTCATGATAGATTTAAAGGTTTCTTCCAAAAATGGAAACTAAGATATTTCAAAGGGAAAAAAAGATCATCTCAATTTTTAAAAGTATGTTCCTTTAAAAACAGCATTCCCTTCTTTTCCTTTTTCCCCCGAGTCAATCTTTGCGGATAGCTTATTCATTTCCCCCTCAAGCAGGTCGCCATCATGCGTCCTGTAGCGCTACTCTAAGGAGCATTTAGACAATGCTGCTGTCAGGCTCAGTGCCTTTGGTCGATTCTGAGGCCAATTCAATTACAGCAGCTGCTATGATATTTACCTTTACCCCAACACTCTCCATGTCCAACAAAATGAAATTCTGGAAGGTGAACACTGTGTGTTTGTGCATATTGGCAATACCCACATTTTACTTAAATGTTTAACACTCTTGTATTTGCTACTTGCGAGATGTGTAATGTTCATGATTTATGAATTCACTTTGTCCAATTACAAATGCATAAGAATGATTTACACCAGAGTTCAAAGCCCTTGCCTCCTGAAAGTACATCGGACTCAAAATGAAATGAGATTAAAATGAATCTATTTAAATACTTACATAAAGTGTTTTGCTATATAAAGACTGAACGCATCAGATTCAGACTTTGAGATAAAAATTTTATACAAAGGAAGCTGTCATTGAGATTTCCTAAAATCTGAAGAGATATTATTTGATTACCATAATCCAAAAACTAATAAATTACAATGAAATGATTCTCTGTATTATTCTAATATTCCTTTTTTTTTCCTCTATCCAAAAATTCAACATTCTAAATGCTTCCAGTTTTAAAGAAGGAACTGTGCATTTCCACCCTGGGTTATTATACAAGTTCCCTTATTTATTTTGCAACTCCCCACATTTCATGTTAAAACAACTCTTACAGGGAAAAGCCAAATAATATATTTCTTTCAAGGACAAATTATAGTCTACATTAAATTTAAAGTCTGAACAGTGTCACTATGGAGCATAATTTTAAAACTGTCATACTATCAAACATCAACAGGTTGATACAGCATCTGTTCCCCAAGTCTGCACCCAAGTTGTTATGGTAACCAGAATGCATATGCTATGTATGTCTCCTAAATTTAACAGATTATTCCAAGTAAATAAAATTAACATGATTATTGGCTAATTATCTTCAAATAATATTCTCAGTACAAACCTATATTTACCTTTTTAAATAGCTAATGGATCACTGCATTATGTTTAATACTAGATGGCTATACTTGTTTTATCGAAGTATTTCACAAAACAATAACAAAATCTAACTCCCCTTAATTGATACATAGCTATTTTCCAGATTAAAAAAAAATGAAAATAGCTTATTCTCATAATAATACATAAAAATATATAATAAAAATGAGCATCAGGACTTCTGGGCATCAAGGATCAAACCATTTTGAAGGGGAAATCACCATGGTGCTGGGGCAGTAAGGAAGAGCTGAGTTAAAGAACAAGTCCTGTATTGGATGTTTTACATTTGGGGTACGAGCAGCCTCTCCAGTAGACACCTTTGTCCTGCCAGCACCTGAGAAATGGCCATGTGATACCCACACAGTGTCAGCCACGTAGGCATTGTCTACACAGGGCTGCACCAAGATGGTGGACAAAGTCACCAAGGAAAAAATCACTGGAGAGAAAAGCAGAGGAGTTGATGCTGAGAATGGAGGGTGGAAGGAGGGTCATGGGGAATGAGGGGTAGAGGAAATGGACCCACAGTCAGAGGGTGGGAAGGACAGCCAAGGAGAAGGAAAGCCTGCAGAGTCAAGAAAGTCAGGTATCAGCAAAGGCAAAGGCCACAGAACTCGTCACTGGTTCCAAAGTCACACTGATCTGTCTACTCGTCTCCTCTTCACCAATAAGATTCCTACTCATTTTTAAGTGTAGCTAAGTTCCACCTCTCTCAGGGCTTTCTTTGAGCTTCCACTTAATATCAGCTCTCCACAAACAATTTTATTTTATGACTGTCTAATTGCTCTTCATGTAAGTTGGGTATCACAGTTATCTGTGCTGGTGTATCATTCTAGGTACCCCTATCAGATGGTGACTTGAGAGCAAGAGCTACGTCTTCTTTTATTTTTATTTTTTTGGGGGGTTTTCTCATCACTTCATACAACTCAGTAGGTTCTAGAGTTCACTGTTCTGTATCATTTATTCTTAAGCACTTACATTCAGTTCAGGGAAGAATACTTAACTAAATTCCATGATGGTACACACACACACACACACACACACACACACACACACACACACACACACACAAAGATTTTTCAATGCCATAGACTTTCTCACAGAATTTTATAAATCACCAGAAAAGTCTACTTTCTTTATTATAAAAATTAGTCTTATGTTTGCAGGGAATTCCAGTCTTTGAGTTCTAACTATGTACTGTAATTAACAACATACTCTTGTACTAAATATCAGTTTCACTTCAACCACTAAATCATTCCCAATGCTATAATAGAGTTTTATCACATTCAAAATGAATTCAATCACTTGGGAAAAAAATAGAAAAAGATTACATCAAGCTTCAAAATTATGTTTCCATACTATGTGTTTGTTTTAAAAGGAATTTGTCTCCAATTCTTTCCTTCATTACCAATCCCCAACACATACAGTTATGCAATCATTTTTCTCTGGACTCTCTAATCAAATCATTCTTATCTTAAAGAATTCTTCTGTCTGAAAGTGGCAATGAAGCACATTTTCAAGGTCCCCAGCGATCACCTGTAAATATATTTTGGTGAAATTTTACCACTTGGAACTTCTGCTTTCAGTACGAATTGGCATTTGTTAACCAGTTCAAAGAAGAATTTTCAAAGATTTTAGTTCAATGATTGAAAATTTAAAAGGGGGACCATCCTAGCAAAACAGAAGGCTCCTGCAGCTTTAAAGACTGCATTAATATTGAACCAGTATAGCGAAGAACTGGAAACAAACTAGATGTCCATCAACTGAGGAACAGTTAAACCAATGGTGGTGAGGTAATGAATGGAAAGGGATGGCATGGGCTGTGGGCTGGGCTGGGCTAGGAAGGGAGGGAATAGGATGGACTGTAATATGCTGGATAAAACAATAAGCATGATGAATACAAAATTCATGCAAGGTAACATAAGTAGAGCCAGGAAAACAATAGTAAATGGAAAAAAAACAACAATCACAAAACCATCAAAACTGAAGAGTCCAAAATTCTGAAGAAAAAACAATTCCAAAGGAGAGGCACGAGAAGACACCTGGCTGTGCTCCTTTGGAGACGCTGGGGCCCAGAGGTGTGGAATGCGGCAAATCACCTCAGATTGTTTTCAATATGTTGATGAGTGTTATTCATTTTTTTTCTCCTTTTCTCACTTAGGAAAAAAATATCCTTTGTTTTAAGAGATGGATTCCTGAGAGGAGATAAGGGAAAGATACAGAAGGAAATCTAGTTGATGAAAAAAGAAAACATATCAAAAAAATCCTCTTTAAAAAATTTGTCCCACTAGAATTATTAAAAAAAATAAGTAGTGCTCTCACCAAGAATGAATTCCGGGTGAGGGTCAAAGTGACCAGCCCGAAAAAAGCATCATGTTTTTACTAATCATTGTGTAAAACACTGAGCTCTCACAGACCCCTTCCTAACTCGGAACTGAAACCACAACGACCTCCCTGTGCATCACATGCCCACTAAGGAGAGTTAACAAAACTAACGCCAAAGCCCTGTCTCACGGCACAGCTCCTTGGAGATCTGGGGACCCCGACAGCAGGGTCATCCTTCCTGGCTCCTGATACATCTATGAGACACCCACAAGCGACCTGCCTGCTATACACAACGCAGAAGCCACAGAGCATTAAAGAAACGTGTTCTTGTTTCAAAACTCTGGGTTTGGAACCTGCTCCTTGCTAGCTAAGGAGGAGAGAGCTGGCTGCAAGACCCCAAGATCCCATCACACCGAAATCTCGCTCTCCGAGGACAAAACAACCCATGATGGTGGACAAAAGCAATTGCATGGCTCTCTCTTTTTGCAATGGAGAGGGCAGGTGAGGAACATTCTTCAGAATAGGATGATTTGAATCGATTCAATTCCATTCGACACCATCAAAAACACAAGTAAATGAAAAACACTGATTAATCACCAATTGTGTGCCAGGCACTGTACTAGGCCCTAGAGATACAAAGACAAAAAGAAAACAGTCCCTGCCCACAAGGAGCTTACATTCTAGGGGGAAGACAACATGTACCCAGCTGCAGAAATGTAAAATATATACAAATGAATAAAAGATAATCAGGCAGGGCAGGGGGGATGCGGGACGGGACACCAACCCTTGGGATATCAGGAGAGGCCTCTGGCGGGAGCTGAGCCTTGAAGGAAGCCAGAGGTCCAAAAGGTCGAGGTGAGGACAGGCACATCGCAGGCAGGGGGCTGGCCTGTACAAGCACACAGAAACAGAGAATCAGGTGGAAGTGAAGCATAGGGGGTTGGGAGCTCGATGACTGACTGTAAAGACGTGAAACTGGGGTCGTCTGCCCATCATCCTATCAGCAGTGGGGAATCCCAGGGTCTTCCTGAGCAGAGTGACAGACGGACCTGTGCTCTGGCAGCTCTGCGGCAGATGGACTGGAGAATGAAGAGCCTGGCGGTGAGGACCCTTCAACCTGGCAACCTCGCTCAATACGGAGCGAAACGGGCCACTGGCGACTAATCGTTTTGACCATGGCTACTCCTATCTTCTCCCGGGCACAGATAAGCGGTGAAGTGTGCCAGTGAAGAGGATCTGCCCGAGGACATCACAGACCTTTTGTACAACCGAAGGGTATGCGACAAGTCTAAATAAACATTCCAGAAAAACCAGGCACACTACTAGAACACCCAAATCAGAAATTCCCTGAGACAAGTATTTGTTAGATTCAGTTCAGAATTGGTACAATTAGCACTCCATTTACTAGGCAATCCAAACAAAGCAGACCACAGCTCCATTACGCTGTTTTCTTCAAGAATTTGCCTTCCTTTCCTTTCTGGTGAGCCTCATGCCTGACTGCTGCCCTGCATTTAGTAAACACTTCACATCTGATGAATTAAAGTGGCTTTTTGCCTTCTTCTGAGGCTCATGCCTTGTATAAAATCCTTTAAAAACAAGGATTACTTTTGCCATCACTAAGTTTACACATTCGGCCTCTTAACGTTCATGTTTAACCAGTAGCTGGTGGTGCAGGGGACAGAGCTGGGCCTGAAGTCAGGGCCTCAAATTCAATCTCAGACACAGACTAGTTGTGTGACTCTGGCGAAATTACTTAACCTCTGTCTGCCTCAGTTTCCTCAGCTGTAAAATGTGCGTACTAATAGCCCCTATCTTCCAGGATAACTGGAAAGCACTTAGACAGCGCGGGGCCCACACTGGGTGCTGTTACTATTAACCCAGCTACTACTATTAGCTATGATTGCTCCCCAAAAGAAATCCTGTGCACCCTGAAATACAGATTCTTCCCTGACCACTGATACTATGGCTATTTGACCAGTCAGAAGAGACAGCCAACAGACACCTGAAAACCTCTGGAAGATGCTGGCAAGCCCTATTTGTCGTGATCAGACCAGACCCCAGTCTGTGGCCCCTGGGGCACACGGGCTAAGCTTGAGCTCATCACCATGGGATGGAAACAGGTCGTTCTGCTCTCCACACACATCCCTTCCACACAGACCCCACCCCCCATTTCTGGTCCCACTCTTCCCTAGCTGCTCTCCCCTTTCCTCTGGATATCCAGGTGGACCTTACGCCTTCCACTAGGAGAGTTAAAATGTGCCCATAATACTTTAGAATCATTACTGGTCGACCTCTTCTGTAAAAGCCTCCTCAGTCTCCCAAACAGCTGCAGTGGGCTGGCCACAAAGACACCAAAGCTGTCCGTCTGCCCACCTCCTTTTCTGGCCCTAAATGTCCTTGAGAATGTCTTTTACATCATTTCTTGAGAATAAGTTACCTTTGGGGGCAGCTAGGTGGCGCAGTGGATAGAGCACCAGCCCTGAAGTCAGGAGGACCTGAGTTCAAATCCTGCCTCAGACCAAACACTTGACACCTACTAGCTGTGTGACCTTGGGCAAGTCACTTAACCCCAACTGCCTAAAAATTTTTTTTAAAAAGAGAGAATAAGTTACCTTTGGTAATACGCTAAGCCTACTGAGGAACACCATGATGTGACCTTCATTAACCTTTAGATCACTGGCAGTTTTTCTCCTGATATTGTGACAGTCTATGATTTTAGCCATAGAGAAACAGGAGAGTTGGGGGAGATATTTAGAGATTGGCGGAGAAACAACAGTGCTAAAAATTAATTGGTAAAAGGAACTCCTGGTGAGGAAAACCCTCCAGCAATGCAGACGGCACTCTGCCACTCACAGTCTTCGTAAGCCACTTGTGGCTACCCAGAGTCACACGACCGGCAGGGAGCAGAAATGGGCTGTGCCTCTACAAGGAGAATACGGCCATTCGCAAGGTGAAGCAGCCTGGATCGCCAAGAGCAATCTCTAGGTTCCCAGATGTGGCCCTGGCTGCTCTCCTCCTTGCTTTGATTCTGGACCCAGAACCTTTTCTGTGTCTGCTGCCTGTTGGTACTGACAGGCTAACTCTGGCCTGTCTGTTTAATGCGCATCATCATCTGGGCTAACAAGAATTCCTCGTCCGCTTCATCTTCCCCACACAGATACAAGGCTGAACTTTCCCGCGTGGTCACACACCTTACCAACAGAGGCCCTGAGGTGTTCAGGGACTAAAGCCATCAGCACAATGTTGTCCATAGAGCAGGAGAGAATCCGTACGTAAAATGAAAACCACCAACGGTATCTACCTCAGGGAGAAAATGGAGGTCCAGGAACTCCGTGTCTCCTGGGTGTCCATTTCTGCCTCTCGAGTCTTAAGGATTCGGGCCCTTTAGAAGTCAGGATTAGCTTGAGACCAAGACAAAGCAGAGCCCCCTCCCTCAGGATTCCTGAGAGACAGACCAGCAGCTCCAGAAAAGGGCGCCAGCCATTGCTGCCTTCCAAGGCTAAACAACATGCCGTTGACTTCCCACAGCCTTGAGTGTCTTCTGTGGGTGTCGTGTTATCTTCTATCGCCACTGTGCCTTCCCTCCACCAGGATTTCAGAGTATTTTCTCTCAAGCGTTTGTTGGGCTCTGTGCTGGGGAGCATGAGAAGTGAAGGAGAAATCTAAGACGTGGTCCCTGCGCTCAAGCAGCTGGAATCGAATTACAGAAATAAGGCATGTGTGTCTGTGTGACCAGGTAATAAGCAAAGGAGAGACAGAGAGAGAGTATGGTCAGTGCCACACGAACGGTACACACAGTCAGGTCTATAGGTATTCAGAGGAAGAGAGAGACCACTTTGAGCTAAAATACTAGGGGGAAGGTTTCATGAAGGCCTTGGAACTTGAGCCACGCCTGGAAGGCCAGGGTTAAAGAGGTAAGTGGAGGCTAGATCACAGAGCTCCTTGCACGGCACTGTACACTGTAGAGAGCCACCGGTGTTTTTTTAAGGGAGTGATGGTCAGACTGGGTGGCTGTGTTGTTCAGTGATGCTCAATTGTATTTTCCCTTCTTTTTTCTTTCTTACAAAAGATGGTGCTCTGGGTATGGGAAGGAAATATGTGGAAATGAAGGTGACATAAAACCAAGACAGAATGATTTTTTTAAAAGAAAGGAAGCAATATGAGTTAAACATTTTAGGAGGGTTCAGGATGGCTTCTGAGAGCCAGGGCAAGAAGGAGCAGTAAAACTCTGTAATCCGGGAGCATCTGGTGGTAATGGACTGCTTACTGTAGAAGCCACACCAAGGGTCAAGGCCACAGAAATGGTAGCAAGCCGTTTAAGAAACATTGTAAAGAAAGTGACAGGGTTTGCTGCTCACGAGGCTACAGGGGAGGAGAAGTCAGAATGAGAAGAGAACTCCTAGGTGGCCTCCTCCGGCCCTTGCCTTCTTGTGACTGCATCACGAAAGGATGGCTGACACGATGGGGGCCACTCGAACGTTCTATCTTCTCGGATGGCTGCAGACCCAGAAGCAGCACCAATGCTCCAACAAGCATGTACACATGCACGCTCACACACGCGCGCACACACACACACACCCCTCCCTCTTTGGAGGCAGAGAAATAATCCTCAACAACGAGCAAGCCGGCTGGCCCAGCTGAAGCAGGAAGACACCTGAGGGAGAGACAGGAAACAGCAGGAGCCAGGCGAGCCTTGATCCCCGCCTCTCCTCAGACCCAGCAGAGATAACCCAAGTGCCTTGGGGCCTGCAGTGCCCCCAAGACCAGCAGCTCTGTTTCCAGCCATCCAGAAACTAAGCCTTTGGAGTTGTTATCCGCACTTAGCACAGTGCCTTGCACACACCAACAGATTAATAAGAGCTTGTTTTCACTCATTCATTCATTTACCTAGCAACAAATAACAAGTCCAAGAAGAGCCCACGATCCAAGCTGATGCCCCGTAAGCTCCCCACGCAGAAGAAAAGCAGCAATCTGTGGGCTGACAAGTTCCATACAAGGGCCACTCTTTTGGCCAAGAAGGGCCTTTGGGCCTAAGGGACGGGAGTGATGAGGAAGAGGTAAAGGAAGACAGCAGAGAAGATGAGTGACCAAAGCAGCAAATGGGACTGACCAGAGGCAGACGTTCATGATGAAGAGAACAAAGGAAAGTAGAGAGATGAGGGGAGAAGCCAGCCTGCTCTGTCCAGCAGGGCTGCTCTTCATCCCTTCCTCCTTGATGGTGAAAGTCGTTCCTATGGAGACCGCAAACAAACAGCCTACTGCACGGAAGCTCGGGCCCTAAAGCACATCCATGGTCTCTGCTGTAGCATCCCCTACCTGGGCAGCTCAGCAGTCTGGGGAGTGTTTAATGTACCCAGTATGATGGATAATGAACTAGGGTGGGACATATCTGCTTTGACCCACGAGAGGCAAAAGGTAGGAAAGGAAGGAGCCTCAGCCTGTTGGGCACAGCTGAAACACCCTCAGAGGAGGGAGGAAAGGGTAAGAAGGGAAGGGGGAAGAGAAGGAAGGTGGGGGGAGGCTCTCAAAAATAAAATTTAAAAACACAAGGAGAACTAGGATAATGATAAGAGAGGGAAGACAAACTTGCTCAACTCTTTGCTTGTGCCTGCTTTCTCTGTCAAGGAAGATCATCTTTGGACTGGGAAGGAGTTAACAAAAATGGGTAAGAAAGCATCACTACCCCAGCCAAATCAGGGGCTAATAAGAAGACAGCCACCTGCCCTTGATAAGTTCAAGTCATGGGTCCAGCTGACAGCTCCTCAGCTGCCCAAAGAACTGGCAGATGACTCCGGAGCCAGGCCAGTGATTTCTGAAAGACTATGACGAGAAGGGAAAGTATTGTCCTGAATCTCCCCCACCAGCCCCAATAAAGGAAAATGGAATCTGTAAACCCTTAGATAAACTTTGATTCCTGGGGAAATTCAATATATAATCATAATCAGGGTGGCTTCACCATGAATAGGGCAGGCCATAAGAAGCCACATCATAAACAATTAAAGAATAAAAAATAAGAAAAGAGAAAAGACATTTCCTTTACAGCAAGTGTCTCTGATAAAGGCCTCATCTCTAAAATATAGAGAGAACTAAGTCAAATGTATAAGACTATAAGCCGTCCTCCAGCTGACAATGGTCAAAGGGTATGACCAGGCAGTTTTCAAACCAACAAATCAAAGCTGTCTATAGTCATATGAAAAAATGTTCCAAACCACTACTGATTAAAGAAATGCCCATTAAAACAACTCCGAGGCACCACCTCACATTTCTCAATTGGCTAATATGATCGAAAAGGAAAATGATAAATGTTGGAGGGGATGTGGGAAAATTGGGACACTAATGCATTACTGGTGGAGTCATGAACAGATTCAGCCATTCTGGAGAGCAATTTGGAACTCTGCCCAAAGGACTATAAAACTATGCACACTCTTTGATGCAGCAATATCACTACTAGGTCTGCATCCCAAAGAGATTAAAAAAAAGCGGGGGGAGGACCTATTTGTACAAAAATATTTATAGCAGTTCTTTTGTGGTGGCAAGGAATTGGAAATTGAAGGGATGCCCATCCACTGGGGAATGGTTGAACAAGTTGTGATATATAATTGTGATGCAACACTATTGTGCTATAAGAAATGATGAGCAGGATAATTTCAGAAAAACCTAGAAAGACTTACATGAACTGATTTAGAGTGAAGTGAGCAGAACCAGGAGAACAACATATACAGTAACAGCAAACTGTACAATGATCAGCTGTGGATGACTTAGTTCTTCTCAGCAATACAAACAATCCAAGAGTATTCCAAAGGACTCATGATGAAAAATGCCATCCGCCTACAGAGAAGGACTGACAGAGTCTAAATGAAGGCAGAAGCATATTTTTCATGTTCTTTATTTGTGTATGTGTGGTTTGTTTGCGTGTTTGTTTTGGGGGGGTGGGAGGGTCTGCACTTTCTTTCACAACATGACCAATGTGGAAATGTGTCTTACATGACCGCAAAGTTATAACATGAGAAGGACAGGGAGGCAAATGCATTTTCCAGCCGTGGATGGGGGAAGAGGTCATGACCAGACAAAGAACGGAGATAATCACAGAATATACAATGAATAATTCTGATGACATAAAATGGAAAAGGTTTGGAACAACAAAATCAGTGCAGTTAAAATTAAAAGGCATTAAGTTAACTGAGGGAAAAATCTTTACAACAAATTTTTCTGATCGAGTCTGATACCCAAGATGTATAAGGAAATCATTCAAATATAGAAAAATGTCTATTCTCCAAAAGCTAAATGGTCCAAGTTTACAAATAGGCAGTTCTCAAAGAAAGAAATCCAAGGGACCAGCTGTCATATAAAAAAGCTACAAATCACAAATGATTAGAAGAAAGTAAACCAAAACAACTCTAAGGCTTCACCCTACACATAGCAGATTGGTGAGGATGCCAGACAGGGAAAACAAGCGCTGGGGGTGCTGGAGGAAGGCAAGCATGGTGGTGCCCCACTGGTGGAGCCGTGAATCCCTCCAGCCACTGAGAAAAATATCTGAACCGCATCCCAAAGGTCATGACTGCATCCCCTTTGATTCAGTGACACCATTACCAGGACTGTTTCCTAAAGAGAGCCAGAAAGAGGGGGAAATCCCATACAGACAAAAATAGTTACAATTGTTCTTTATGTTATATCAAAGAACTGCAAACCAAGGGGGCACCCATCAACTGGTGAATGGCCGAACAAATTATGGGATATGAATGCAATGGAATATTGCTGTGCTATAAAAATGACAAAAAGGAGGAGCAGCTAGGTGGCACAATGGAGAGAGCACCGGCCCTGGATTCAGAAGGACCTGAGTTCAAATCCGGCCTCAGACATGTAACACTTACTAGCTGTGTGACCCTGGGCAAGTCACTTAACCCCACTGCCTAGCCAAAAAAAAAAAATGACAAAAAGGACAGTTTCAGAGAAACCTACCAAGATTTTATGTACTGATGCATAGTGAAGTGAGCCGAATCAAGAGAACAACCTAACAGTAACAATACTATAAAGACATAATAATAATAATAATTGCTAATATTTGTCTGAGCTTTAAGGTTGACCATGTGTTTTACATATATTATCTCACTTGATCTAAAGAACTCTGGTCAATGAAATGATCAACCCTGACTGCCAAGAACCAGTGATGAAGCATGCTACCCACTTCCTAACAGAGAAGTGACGGACTCATGGTACAGAATGAGGCATACACTTTTGGACATGGCAAGGGGTAGATTGGTTTTGCTTAACTAAGCCTATTTATTGAAAGGGGGAAAAAAGACTAGGTCATTCTAGACTAACTTCAATTCCTTTATTAAACTAGTATTTAACTAAACTAGTAGGGAATTGTTATATGCTTTACCTAAATTTTAATGTCTCTCTTGTTATTTGATCAAGGAGATAAGAGCTAGGTCACTGGTGTCAAACTCAAATAGAAACAAATCTTCAGGCCACGATTGACTTTCGTGGTTGTTCAGTTACTTTTTAGTCATGTCTGACTCTTCGTGACCCCATGTGGGATTTTCTTGGCAAAGATACTTCTCATTCTCCAGCTCATTTTATAGATGAGGAAATTGAAGCAAACAGGGTTAAGTGACTTGTCCAGAGTCACACAGCTAGGAAGGGTCTGAGGCCAGATTTGAACTCAGAAAATGAGCCTTCCTGACTCTAGGTTTAGCACTCTACAAATTAACATTACCTATATTGTATTGTGCTTTTATTTATTTTGTTAGACATTTCCAAATTACATTTTCATCTGGTTGCGATCCCACTGGGAGGTTTTTTCTGGTCTGCCTTTGGCTACATACTTGCCCCCACTGAGCTGGATGCTAACACAGATGGGTGGTTTTAGAAGTGACTGACTGGCTAGATCCAATGAGCAGCATTTACGGGCTCAGTGTCATTCCCAATGAAATGACCTGGATGAAGGAAGAAACAGCCTGAAAACACAAGATCAGAGACTTAAGAGCCAGAAGGGCCCTTCCAGGCCCTTTGGTCCAATCCCTTCATTTTGCAGATGAAACCTCAGGTATACAATGGCTAAATGACTTGACCAGGCCTGGAGGTCTAGCAAGCACTGGAGGCAGGATCTGAACCCAAGCCTCTTGACTTCGAGTCCAGGGTACTACTCACAACACAAGACTGAAGAGGATGACTATGGTGGAACACCTTGGAGAAGAACTCTAGGCCTCAAGGCACACGGCCTCATAGAAGAAAAGACCTCAGGACACCAGCCCAAGGCGACAAGAGCGTGATCCTAGAATGGCCCTATGGGCAGAAAACCACCAAGGGAAGGAAAAGGTCAGTTAGGGTCAGGGAGAAGCCCAACTGAGGTGTGGAAAGGATCACATTCTGACAACATATTGGGGGGTAGAGGAGTGGCTAGAGCAGCAGATGGACTTTATGGCCTTTGGGACCCTACAGGGCAAGGGGTGGGGTGGGGGTGGGGCACCTAGAATGGGGGAGGGTCATGGCCTGCAGCCAGAGCAGGACCACTAGGTATTGGGACACAGTCCTCAACTACGGCACAGGACTCTCCTGGACATCAGCTCCCTACCTATACCCAGAATCAAAGGCCCAGTTACCTACACCCTAATTATGGCTCAGATGACAAGATAATATGAATCAATTACGTGATATGAAAACCAAAAAAGCTATGCATGTTTTATGTCAGCGCTCTCCAAGTACAGTGGGTAAAATTCTTTGTAAATCCTCAACAGCCTAAGTTTGGGCAGATGGCAAGCCTGCCTCAGTTGCAGTACCTACGCTTTATTCTAGATATACGATTCTCCATAAAAAGATAAGAGGAGGACCCTCCTCTAGCCCAACACTCAATGCAAAGCAATTGGCTGAACCAAGCGCGTTATTTTCAGAAGAGCTGCTTCAGTTTCCGAGTGACGCCAGCCATTAGAAGGCTAAGTCAATCACGATGCTGAAGAACTTCATGGCTTTTTCAGGCGACAACTCTTAGTGCTCGCTGGACGTGGAACAATGCGGCAAGTCAAAGACGCTGCTCTATTTTGGTCAGACTTTCCCAATCCTGACCAGGAAGGCACCAGGCAGCCAAGCTCCCCAGTGTTTCAGCAGAATAAAGGAAGGCTGCTTGTTCTTATATGTGCCGATGCCGCAGGTTCCCAAAAAATAAAACTTCTGCTGATTGCAAAGTTCCACCGTCCTAGGGTTTTCAAAGGTACTATATATTTACCTGTTGCCTGCACAGTGCAAACTGAGGGCTGAACAAACATATTTCTGTTCACTGGATCTCTCAGAAAGTATATTCCATAGAAAGAAAGCTAACCTATTGTTACAACATCACAGACCTTACCCTGAGAAAATGACAATCTGAGAATTTTTTTTTTACCACTTTCTATCCTTCATATAACCTCAGGGATTCAACTTCTGAATCTGGGTATTAATCAACGTAAGAAACATCACAGAAGAGAGTCAATGACAAAGTAGGTTGTTCCTTGTCCCAGGACATGCCAGATAACGGAATTTAGTGTAAACGGTACAAGAAGAGAAGTGTCAGGCTCACCTGAGGTATGAGCCGTTCCAAGTGCTCAGCTCGGTTCTCATGGGAGGGATGTGTTGACAGCCATTCTGGTAACTTAGGCTCACCCAGAATCCTATCTGCAAATTCCAGCTGTTGCCAAAACACTGAACTTGCTCTGACATCCACACAAGCCTGCGAGTAAAATGCAGAAGACCAGGAAATCAGGTTAACTCTCTAAGGACACGTTAGGGGAAAAATACACAACATACAGTATTATGGAAGAAAATGTACATACATAAGGCAGGAGGAAAAAAGGCTACATTATTTATGGCAACATCAATGCATGCACGTTGTCAGAATGCAAGCTCTGCTGACATGCGCGGTGTACAGGGAGGAGTGACGGACTGCAAGGCAGAAAAGCGAAGTTCCAATATTAGCTCTGCTGCTGGCTGCCCAGGAGGCCTTGCATTTAGAGGCACCTCCCTTCTCCTGCAAAACGAGGGAAGCAGACTGGAGATGGTCTCCAGGGTCCCATCTAACTTTATGTAACCACGAAAGGTGACATGCACGGCTTTAAAAGGAACTAGAACATCAGCATAACCTTACCCATATTAAAATGTCTTAAGTAAACATGGCAATAATAAAGTTACTATATTTCAAATCTGGAACTTTTTCCTTTATCCTAAGAAATCTGAGGAGGAAATGATCACAGCATAGACCAGAAGTACTGCTAGAATATCTCGAATCCTGCCATAGCGATAAAGACGAAGGCCACTAGGCAGCTGACAGCACAGTAAAGTCGCCCTGCAACTGTTTGTGACTATAAGCTGTCAAAGCATCAAAGCATCACATGTAAAACTGTTAGGAACCTTAAGGAGAAATGGATTTAGAATTAAACACAGCACAACGTTCTGCTTTCGGTTGAAACTTGACAAAATCTCTAATGTCTGTTTGTGACACAAGCACAGAAAACACCAACTACTTTCCATCATCAACAACAATTAAGCTGCTGCTGGGAACAAAGCCTATTTCGGACGCAGCTAAAGCTCAAAAGTGACCAGATTTGTTCCTTCAAATCCAGCTTACCCTCTTCTCCGCTTCCCAAGAAAGTAACAAAAATGAGCCAGTGTAAAATGCTGCTTCCCAAAGTTTTCATAAAACCAAAAATTGATTTGAAAACAAGTGACTAGAATATCGTAATCTCCCATCTCAGAGCCCCGTCCATCTAGCATTGCACAATAATGTGTTAAAAACAAATATATCTGGGGAAAAACTGTTATAATCAATCATCCTAGCCAGTCCATGGGTCTCCTGGCTACATAGGTTTGACCGATATATCTCTAAAGGACATCGCCATCTCGTGTTCTGCTCAGCACACAAGGAGTTAATCAAAGTACAACAAAATTATGTCACTGTTTTAAACTCTTAACAAACACAGCTGAAGATAATCTTTAAAGCAATACTTGGTATGCAGAGTACATCAGAGGAACAGATTAATCATCTCAACAGACTCAGATTCCAAAAGGAACCGAGACATCTGTTTGAAAATTAAGATGGAGGTATCCTTATTTCTCTATACTTTGTAAAACTAATTACAAAGACACACTAAAGGAAGGTGAAATTTTTGAAAACGAATATGTCACTTGTATTTATTCTCTCCATTTATTAAAAATAAAAACGGCCTGGATTAGGTATGAAAATCATCATTTCTAAAATGAAGGGGCTGCCGGCCACTAGTTCGACTCACTTTTCTAAACAGGGATTGGAGGGTGTGAGGTGCAAGAGGGAGAAAGTCACCATCAACCAGCGTCGAGATCACAGAAGGGGAGAAAGAAAGGGAACGACTTCACTCTTCAAGCTCGGGACCAAAATAATCCCACACATAAGGAAGCCCCTTCCCCTTCAGGGCACTCACTCTGACCAGCAAGCACAATCCCGACCAACGGTCTGTCTGGTCCTGTCACAACTGATGAGGCCCCCAGTGACATCAACGGGGTAAGCAGGATCCAATTTAGTTCAGCCTAGACTATGCCCAGGCCCTAGTTCATGCCAGAATACTTGTGTGGTCTTCTGGGAAATTCTGAAGTCAGGAGGCTACGCCTAAAATCACCAGGCCTGAAGCCAGTCATCTGAGAGCAGTAGCACACGATGCCTGAGGATAATTAGAAGTCTGAGGCCTCCACAAGTCACATGAGTGTCTACTCCAGGCAAGCACTGCCTGCAGCCAAAGACTTTTTACCAGAAATACAAAAGGGGAAGCGGCCCCCACGACTTCTGGCCCCCTGAGAAGCTGCCTCTGCTCCCTGTGGATGGCTTCTGCCTCAGCTCCACCCCAGGTAGCCCCCAGAAGCCCAAGCAGCAGACAGACATCAGCACTGCTACCACCTGTCCCCCGTCACAGATTCTGCAGCTTTAACTTTACCAACTACAAGGAATCACAAAGACTGCCCTTCACCCAAGCTTGGATGCTGGGACTCAGCACAGCAGAGCTAGAAGAGGCCTGAGGTATCACCTGAGCTGTTCCCATTCTTTTCCTAGTGAGGACACTGATGGCCACAGTGTCATCCATGGGAAGGAGGCATGGTGGCAGGAGCTCATTAGGCAGCTGATGTGAGCAAAGGACTGAGCTAGAAAGTTCTCCTGGGTTTTTCGCCGCAGGTACAGCCCCAAGCCAATACAGCAGAGGAAAGTTATGGTGGAATGTTTGCATGCGGGTTGGAACGTGACCAGGAAATCTCAGAAGAAGGCAAGCATTGCCAGGATATTGGTACATCCGCGTTTCATCCATGGTCAGAGGCAGCTCTTCTTCTCTCCCCACTGGAATCCTCATTATCTCTTGGGGGTTTTATCATTTTGCAGTTTCTAGTTTGCCTGGTCGGCCCTTCTGCAGGACACTTCTAGGGAACCATCGGTGTCCACTCTTGGCTGAATCATGTATTTCTGTCACATGACAGCTTTAAGTTGGGGCAACTGCAGCAGTAATAATGAGAGCTACCGACAAATAACCATATCTATTGCAAAGCACACTCAGTGTTTGTCGATGCCTCTCTTATAACTTCACGTTTACATCTGATAAAAATTCTACCTGCGCCCCGATCTGGAAGAGGCACAGAGAATTTATACTAGGTGCCTTGTAGTTTGTTTCATACCAGTTCTAAAAACCCTCTTTGCTGGTTAGCCGTCTCATTAACTGCCACGGCAGCACCTGATCCAATCCAAGAACTTCTATTAAGTGCCAGGCACTGTGCTAGGTGCTGGGGATACAATCCCCAACTAGGACATAGAGTCTTACACTGATCGTGTGACTGGTCTAAGCCACCAGCCTCACAGCCACAGAACGACGGCTCAAATCGCAGCTTCTCATTCGTGAGAACATCTCGCTTCCCTAGATCCCACAGAACTCCCCATCGAACGTTACTTATCACCTGTACACTGTAAAACATGACTTCGTCACCAGGGAACCTACAACTATTAATCAATAAAATGCTCTCCCGACAATCTACTCTTGGTCCTTCCTCACCGGGTTGCCTGCTGCACACAGACTGACCTCCCAAGCTGGCTCCGGCTTGAGACAAGCAAGCTATGACCACGAGCAGCAAGTCAGTGCACCTGAGAGCCTCTGTTTTCTCCCCCACAGAATGGGGGCAGGCAGAAGCAGGAGGGACTGGATTGTCTCCAAGGTCCCTTTCCCCTCCCACGAGCTCTGATCTCGTGAGCCCCCTTAGAACGTGGTTCCCGAAGTCACCCACCATTTCTCTCGTCTTCTCACTAGATGGTGCTGTCTCCATAGTTTTCTAGCCCAGGATGAGAAGAACCAATGCAAGGAAACAGGTTTTCTATTTCAGACCAGGAGGGAAGGTTCTGAAGGCTCAGTAGAAAAAGATGGCCTGGCAGCCTGAGGAGAGAACGAAGGACCAAAGCCCAGGCCACCGCACGAGGAATCGAGCTGCCTCGTCACGGCAGGGCTGGTTCCAACGGCCACACACTGGTGGAAGCTCCTTTCCCACTCTCAGACCTTGACAACTGCCAGGCTGAGCCCCACTTCCTCAGACATGGGCCAGCTCCCAGATTTTCTCCATGCTAACTGGGTGATCCTGAGCCGGCCCCTTGGCTTCTTTGAGGCCCTAGGACCCTACCCCAACCCCACTAGGTTGTAGCTTCCAAGGGCTCCCAAGGCTGTATCTGCCAACTCTGACAACCATGGGGGCTTGGCCACCTCCAAACTGGCCCTCAGCAAGGAAGTGAGGTTGCAGGGGGGCCGCAACCTTGACCGGTGGAGAAAGCAGCCTGGCATTGGAGTCCCGGGTCTTTTCTGGGAGCAGATTTTTCACCCTGTGACATGGCAGGCACTTACCAATGACATACACTCAGAGGAGACGAGAGCTAGAAGGGACCATTAAGATCACTGAGGCCAAACCTCCCATGTTACAGATGAGGAAACTGAGACCACAGCAGCATGACTCCACCTGTTTATCTGGCGTGCCCCTCAAACATCTGTGAGTCCATCCCTGTGGCAGTCCTCCCACCAACACACTTTCCCTACTGCCCCTCTCTAAGTAAGCACACAGTCTCCAAGAGCTGCTGTGGCCCAAACATGCCATGCCCCTGCAGCCAAGGGGCTCAGCCAAGCTGGTCCAGCCCTGCCCCCCCGCTGGGAGGACCTGTCATGGCTTGCGTTTGCTGGCAGGTAACCAGAGAGAACCCAGGATCACCTCCATGCCACAACGGGGAGGGGCTGGAGAGACAGGACAGCAGGGGGCCACAGAAGTGACTTTTCAACCTAGAAAATAATTACAATGAGATGACTTCCCAAGTGGTTTAAAGAAAATACTTCAAGAGCATCTGCATCTATTGTTCAAAATGCATGTCGTAAGTGTAAGAGTTGGTGTCCACTCATAAAAATCAATCATCAAGTAAAGGCTATCAGAGAGGTGAGCCCCTTATTCCAGACAGCACAACTGCCACCCACCCCCAGCCCCACCACTGCCTCGTAGAGATTCTGAATACACTTTCCCTTTATGGACAAAATGGAAACGCCTCCTGCACGGCCCTCGGACGGGGCTCCTTCTGAAGGCCTCCACAGGGCAGTGCCACTGGGTCTGTAACAAGCAGCCCCAGAGTCACCCTTGGAAACATTCCTTACAAACCATAACCGATCAGGGGAGTGTATGCATTTCTCCACTGATTACATAACCTGGATTCCTTTTTTTCTTTTTTTTTTTTTGGTGAGGAGGGTGGGGAGAATAAGAAAAGTAAAGCTTGCTTCACTTGGTGGCTCATTCTAAACTACATATTGATTGAATGGAACAACTTGAGAGCTCATCATCTGTCAGATTATTTTACTTGTGCGAGACATGAACAGCCCTGGAGAGGGCTGGTGATCCTCGGGAATGAGTGACAGACCTCCATCTATAAAAATGAACCTCAAACATGGAGGGGCAAGAGGCAGCCTGGGACAATGGAACCCTGGCCCCCAAGCTTACTGCTGAGTGACCCTGTAAGACTCACTCAGCCTGCTGGAGACTCAGCTTCCTCACCTGTCAAATGGGAGTGGTGACAACCGCACCATGACTGCACAGGGTCACTGTGCTGTAAAACCTGAGTCTGCACAAGTTAACCTTTATGCCAACGTAATCTATAGACCTCATTTTATGAGAAATTAAATGAGAAGAATGCTATCTCACACATGTATGGCCCTTGATGGCTTACACAGCCCTTTTCTAACAGCCCTTTCATTCCTTCTTTCTTTCTCTTTATTTATTTTCTTTCTCTCTCTCTCTCTCTCTCTCTCTCTCTCTCTCTCTCTCTCTCTCTCTCTCTCTGCTGGTGGACACAGTGCACAAAGAGCTGGGCCTAGAGTCAGGAAAACCTGAGTTCAAATCCAGCCTCAGATACTTACTAGCTGTGTGACCTTGGCCAAGTCACTTCACCTCTTTCTGCCTCGGTTTCCCCATCTGTAAAATGGGCATAATAATAGCGCCTACCTCCAAGGTTGTTGTGAGGATCAAATGAGATAATATTTTGTAAAAATCCTTACTGATCACAGTACCTCACACACAGTGGATGCTATCTAAATGCAAGGAAGAAAAGGAGGAGGATGAGCAATCTCATCAGCTCCTATGGTTTCAATGATCATTTCTGTGCAGATGACTCCCAGACCTACAGATAACAGCCAGTCAACAAACATTTATTAGATCCATCCCCCGTCTGCCTCCTGAGCCCTGGTCCCCCATCACCAACTGCCTACCAGACACTTCAAACCACATGTCCCAAAGACATCTCACGTGCCACGTGTCCAAAATAAACTTCATTCTCTTTTCCCCAGAACCTGTGCCACGTCCAAATTTCCCTCTCTGTGGAAGATGCCACCATCCTCCTCCTCACCTGGCTTTGCAGCCTCAGTCACGGCCTCTCACTCTCCCGTCAGCAGCCCCATCTTGTCCCATCTGTCCCCAGCTCGGCACTCACACAACCACCACGCCTCAGGTCAGGGGCATTCCTGCCCCAAGCCTCTGCCCTCTCCACAGAGGGGCCAAAGAAACGCCCCTAAAGCACAGGCTGGCCATGTCAGCATCCTGATTAGGAAACACCAATGGCTCCCTCTTGCCTCGAGGATGCGAGAGCAACCCCCCTGTTTGGCACTGAAGTCTCTGCACGCTGGGCTCCCACCTACCTTTCGACCTTATTCCATCTCCCTCCTGTTTGTGCACTGCACGGTCCAGCCAAATCAGCTTTCCTTCTGACCCCGTAGCATGTTCTTTCCCACCTGCAGACCCCCATTCCTGGAATGGACTTCCTCCTCATCTCTACCTCTTCCAGTCCCTGAGAACATTCCTGACCTTCACCCCCAGTCACACCATTTCCTTACGGAGGTTCTGAATGCACTTTCATGTGTATTCCTTACCTCCCCGAGTCAAAGGCAAAGGCTGTTCCACGACTGCCTTCCTATCAAACAATTCCAAGTCCAGTGCCTGGCACGCAGTAGGAGTTAAATGTTCACTGATGTGGGTCTCGCCCAATGCAGAGCTGATTAACTGATTTGTGCGTGGTCACACCCCAGAGAAGTATTTGGGATGCATCTGGACCCAATTCATCCAGCCCCCAAGTCTAATATTTCATTGATTATACCATGCTGCTTCCATAGATAATGCAAGTATTATTATCTTCAATTCCCAGAAGGGACAGTGAGAGGCCAAGAGTGCAGAAAGCACCTTCCTTGCCCATGTCCCACAGCCAGAGAAAGCCAACTGATCTTTCACAACAGCAAACTCAAAATGAAGCATCCTAAGCAAAAACGATGAACTAATTGTGAATTTGCTATCTTTAGCTCTGTTACTACTCACTTACAGACACATAGCTTCCCTGACATGAATGTGGAGGTCAGAGCCAGACCGTAGAGAGCCAAGGATACAGGGCTAAGGAGGCTGGGTTTCTCTGGCAGGCAACGAGGGACCATTTAAGGGCTCTGAGCAACAGATGGGATTACAGAGGGAGGGACACCATGACTGCCAGGGAAGGTTCTGGGCACTAGAAAGAGTCATCCAGCAACATTATGCTGGATGGACTAGGCAGGGGAAGAGAAGGGAGGCAGAGAGACTCATGAAGAGGACACTGCAATGGTCCAGGCCACAGACCACGTGGACCTGACCTCAGACGGTGGCAACAGAAGTGCCAGTCGGAGGGGAGAGACAGTGAAGAGAGAGTAGACAGGACCACAGGCCAGACTGCAGGCAACAACAAGGAACAGGCCTTCCTGGCCTGGAAGCCAGGCCAGCCCTTGTTTGGATCCTGCCTCTGACGGTGGCACCCTGGGCCCATCTGGGCCTCAGTTTTCTCATCTGTAAAACGAGGATGGTTGGCTGTGGTCCATTTTGAGGACCAAAATGACATCACTATACTAAGGTCAAGTTACACTGGCATCCGCCCACGGCTGCTCAGCCCAATACAAGCTCAGAAGGCTGTACCACAGGTCGGGCACAGAGTCCATGGGAACACCCGGGGCAGAGTCTCTACATTTGCGCATCTTGTATGAGCTAGTTCCAGTCTGCTTTGCTCACAGAGCACAGCACCTTCTCTGACGTGGGCACGCCACACTGAGAGCTCCTGGGCCAGCAGAGACAAAAGGCAGCACCTACTTCCAAAGCTGATAAAAATGCAGAAAAGTACATCCATCATGTCAAAAACCTTTGGGCACCTGAACAGCGTCAGTGAAGGTGACCCTGAGGACAGCCAGGGCCAGGGAAAACCAAAGATAACACAGAAGGAACAAATGAAAATCCAATTTTAGGGCAAACCATTGTCTATTAAAAAAATGTCATTTTCACAACGAACGTCCACGAGCAGACAACTCAGTGCGCACAAAATCCCTTCCCTAGCAGAAAGCTAACGTTCTTCCTCTTCAGGACACCACCCCTAGTTAGCTTATGCTGGACTCATCCCAGGCCCAAGTAGATGTTCCTGGAAGATAACGCTACAAAATAATTTTTAAGTACAACAAACTTTCTGACCTACCCGCCTTTCCAAATAAGGAAACCTCCCCTTGTGAAGCACGACCATCAAGCTGTCCTCGTGCTGGGCATGCCCTCCTGCTCACTCGCGGGGGGCCTCTCCGCCACTTAAATAAGCCCCCCATTCCACCTACCTTTGCAGCAAACTGCAATCCGACTCTGTCCGCTTCCGCCTCCAGGGTGCGGCTATAGGGTCTATCGAACACATACTAGAAGAAAGATGACATAAAATCCGTTAACAATCTGTATTCATAACATCAGAGAAGCACGATTTTTCCTCATCAGCACTAAAGGGTATTTTATTCGTTTTAACAGATACTTGAAGCATGTAAGATGAAATGTGGATATTCCTTATGAAGATTTAACATTTACTGAGCATCACTAGCAAAGAAGGTGGGGACAGAGTACATGCTGTAGCCTTCATTCCCTCTATCAGGGACGAATATATATCTCGTTAATGATGCGTAGGTTAATTTCCAAACAGGGCATGAAAATTTAAAGGGAAGTAACACCTGCAATCTGCTAAGATCAAGTACAAAAATAAAGTCTATCTCTGTGACGCAGGAAAAGAGCACTGGATTAGAAATCTGAAGCCCTGAGTTCTAGTCCCAATTCTACCCCTAACTTGCTGTGTGACCTTGGGCCCATATCTTACCCTCTCTGAGCTTCAGTTTCTCACTCTGTAAAATGGGCACAATCATACCTGCCAGAAGGCCGCTGTGAAGAGCAAACAAGACGGGCAGCTAGGTGGTGTCCCGGTGGCTAGAGCCTGGGCCTGGGTTCAAATCTACCTGAACACTGGTTGTGTGACCCTGGGCAGGTCCCTCAACCCCTTTGGGTCCCAGTACCCTCATCTACAACAAGGGGATAACCACAGCACCTGCCTCCCAGGACGATAGGAGGATACAGGGAAACCCTGGCTCTAAAGTGCTTTGCAAACCTAAAAATGCCACAAGATTAAGTAACGGATCTGAGAGTGCCACAAAAACCACAATGTATTCAAGCAGATCTGAGGTCTCCACGGTGTTCCAACGCACTCTTCACAGTTAATTCTGTTTAACTAACATTTTGCCTCGGATATACGAAGCATGATGCTACACATGAGCCGGAGACACAAAGCTAAAAACGCCACATTTCCTGGCCTCATGGAACTTAGACTCTACTTAAGAAATACAGTCTCAGGGTCAGCTAGGTGGCACAGTGGATACAGCACCAGTGTTGGATTCAGGAGGACCTGAGTTCAAATCCAGCCTCAGACACATAACACTTACTACCTGTGTGACCCTGGGCAATTCACTTAACCCCCATTGCCTAACCAAAAAGAAAAAAAGAAAAAAAGAAAGAAATATAGTCTCTAAACACATGCATCCATCAAAGTCACATCAGGTACTCCCCAGAAGGAAAAGACCCAACCGGCAGAGAGGGGAGACCAGGGCACACACAAGGAAGCGATGCTTGGGATAGACAGGAGGGGGGCTGTCCCTGAAGAGAAGGTGGTGCCCTCAGGTAAGGGGGCTGAGGTTCAGAGATGGATCCCAGGATCCCACAACACGGGCCCCTGCCAGCTCTGAGATTCTTTTACATGTAAATCCATCTACCAACTTCAAAGAGTCATTTTAGATACTGGATTTTCCTGTTTATTATTAGTAACAAAAACGCGTTCTCTCTAAACTGTAGCAAAAATGATACAGGAGATGCTTGTTCAGCAACATATGCGAAAGGGCAGTAGCACGGAGTGGGAAGGGCACTGCTCTTGATCTCAGAAGGCCTGGGTTCAAGTCTGGGCTCCCAGCCTTACTAGTTCAGCAAGACACAACCTCAGGGAGCTTTATCTGTAAAACATGGATATAATGTTTCTACTACCCACCTCCCAAGGTTGGTGAGGAGGGAAAAGGTTTAGAACTTTTGAAGTAGCTCAACTCAGCATCAGACCTGCCCCCTCTTCCCCCTGGCAATCAAGTGGTCAGGGGGGTGAAAGAGCACCTCTCCAGAGACACTCAGGGCCAGCAGGGTCCTCCAAACACCAGGTCAAATCTACAAACAGATCTCGGGCCTCCATGACCAGCAGCCTCACAATCTCCCCCATCCTGCCCTCACCGCTGAAGAACTCCACCATCAGAACGCTAATGATTTCTTCCATTTTTATTTCATTTTCTTCTCATTAACAAAAATCTACCTTCTCTCCCTTCTACTCCCCTCTCTCAATGAAAAAGAAAACCAAAACTTTGTAACAAATATGTATAGCCAGGCAAAACAAATATTGGCCATGTCTCGCCCGTGTGCGTGCATATGTGTGTGTGTGTGTATCTCACTCTCCCTCTATCTCTCTGTATCTATCTCTCTCAATACACACCCTGAGCCTCTCTCCTCTCTGTCAGGAAGTGGGTGGCAGTCTTCCTCATGGGTCCTCTGGAATTATCAAGCTAGTGATGTTACAGTTTTAGGAAAATGACAGGTGGTTACTGCTCACATGACTCCCAGGAACCTTTGATTGAAGGGAAGGGAGCTCAAAACGAAGTGGGTATCCATCCAACATTCTTTTCTGGGAAGCCATTTAGACTGTTTAGATGTTCTCTAGAGAACTTTACTAAGCTGGTGGGGTTCTGTGACCTCCTCCTTACTACACAATTCTAATGAAGCCATTAAAAGAAAACAAAAAAAGCCTTCACCATATCATGGGGAAAAGGCTGAGTCAAACCACTTTGCCTTTGTCCTTGGCAGAGATCAAACTCCCGAGATCAGCTCGCATAACCCAAATCAAAGGCTGCTCTTGTTTTCCCTTTATGAACTTCCAGTAATTATAAACAAAGAAAGTGCCGTAACATAACACGAATGTATAAAGATGCTTGTTACTCAATTTCATCATCAATTTATCTCATCGTGGTTTACGCCTTAGATTTGGAACAGCACCCAGATGGCACTTGGATGGGTGTTCTACAAATCATTAAATAAACAAATAACAGATTGTGCCTAAATAGTCAAATCTCCCAGGACAAGGGGAAATATTTGGAGAGAAATGTGAAATAAAACAATTAATCACAGCTAATCGAGCAGTTAGGCACTCCCAGAACTGAAAGAACTACAAAAGGCAGTTCAGTCATCACGAAGGACAGCTACTCAGTAGAAGATGCTGGATAATCACCATTCTACATGGAAAAAAGAACAAGAGAAAGGGAAAGTCAAGCCAACGCCCCAACCCAAGGGCCGACCCCTGTATAAAGTGGCGTGCCGAGTGCACGGTCACTCAGCAGCTGGGTGGGACCAGGGACAGCTTCGGCCCAACCACAGTCCTCTAAAGACTGAAAGTGTTCCATCTTGGATTAAAATGAAAACATCCCTTGGAAAAGCCACCTTCATCAAGTACTACACCTTCATAGTCCCCTCATAGGCCACAGCCTAGAGACGTGGTATTTGCTGAGCAGATTGAGGGGCTGGGGCAAGGAGGGGGGAGGAGATAAAAAGCCAAAAGGAAGAATGAGGAACAACGGGAAATGGCAAAGGGGGAGGCTCAAACTGCCAAGGTGGACCAGGCCACCTGAGGATGGGAGGACTTTAAAGGGAGGCTGCAAAACCAAGCATCGGGCGGGCCCCTCAGCTCCTTCACAACCAAGATTCTGGGATCGCACAAGCTCAGAGAAATGGCAACGCCAGGCCCAAATGTCTACTGGGCCTTCAAACGACACTGCAGCCCTTATGTGGCGTCCAACAAGACCTTCCAGAGGTCGTGTGGCTAACAGGCTTATCTCCCTGGGGCTGAACAGGCGGGCAAGTCTCCAGACTTCACTGGGCTGCTCAGATGCCAGACACAGAGCTGGCCACCGGGCCTGAATCGGAATCTGCCACCTTGGCGTAGGACACACCAAGCGCTGGCACAGCCTCTGGGATAAGATACAGAAGATGTATGGCCAAGAGACAACGAGCACTGAATTTGGTCCAAAGACCTGGGTTCAAATTCTGCGCTCAACAACCTGTGAGACCCTGGGCTAATCTGAGCCTCAAAGAAGGGTGTTAGAACAGATGACCTCCAAGGCTCCTATGAGCTCTAACTCCCTAGCGTTTCATGGGAAAATCCCTTATTTCCTACGACACAATGTAAGACAATATTGGGCTCCCTTGATCTAGAGTAAAATGCCAATCCATGCCAATGCCACACGGCGCTGGTTCTAGTCACTGGCCACCACTCTCACCTCTTTCAGTCTAGACTGGATCCACTGTGACAAAACCGCCAAACTATCTCGAGGACAGACGGCCCAAATCATCACGAGGAAAATCAGACCCAGAAAATCCCACAGATGAGCCAGGCTGGCCTTCTCTGCCTGAGAACAATCAAAACAACAAAGCGATTATCTCGAATGCCGGTGCCCAGGCTTCTGCTGCGTTGTAAACGGCCCCTGACGCAGCCGTTGTCAGCTGAGGCCCGAGGACGAGACGGAGAAAAGTCTGCTGGCCTTTCCGTGGCTTCTCCTTCCTCCACACGCACACACAGGCAAATGGAGCTTGGACTTGCACAATGGGAACATGGGGAGCATCGATCCAATTTTAATAAATCTTACATAAAAGTTAAATGTCTGAAGGGAGAAAATATCTTTTAACCCAAAAGGCTTTTGGTTATTATAGGAAATTAGAATAAAAATTTCACACCATAGAGATCATAATGCCTATACATGCCATAAAATTACATGTGCTTATATACATACATTTTTACTAAATACCAAATACTAGCTAATATCTGAAGTGGGAGAGAACAATTAGCAACTTCATGCTTGGGTTTATATTTCTACTTCCAAAGGTAACTACTCATTTGCTTAAATTAAGTATTTTGATCTTGTCTAAGATTACTGAGAAACAGAAAATACATTTACATTTCTTGAAGTGTGCCTTAATTTCAGTCTCAGATTTCACACCAGGGAATGAAATTCAGCCAGTACTTTCATTTGCTTATAACAGAAATTACTGCAAAATGTTTTACTTAAATACCAGCGACCTTTGTGAATTAAAGGGCAAGCCTGAGTTTTAATCACTGAGAGGCTCATTTTCTGCCCTGCTGCAAAGAGCACAGGTGCCCGATAAACAGTCACTGTGGAGGGTTCGATGATATCATCCGTCACAGCAGGGCTAAACAGTCAGGAGACCTGACGGTCTGCTTCTCACAGCCCTCCTGACTGCCCAGGACACAGACACAGCCCGGGTTGCTAACTGCTCTCACCCTCTCACCCTCTCTACCATAGTCTTTGCAAACTTTGTGAGTGACATGGCTGTGTTATCAGCCTCTCCACAGTTCACCCAGATGCTTCTTGGACCACGAATACCTCGCTGCTGATCCTGTAAATGACAGCTTTCTGGCATGCTGACACATATGGTCTTTGAGAGCCCAGGATCACTCCACCATGATCAGACGTTTAGAACTTTAGCCAAAGAAGCCAGAGAAACTCTTGCTAAATACAGAAGTGTGTTTGAATACAAATATAGGCATGCATTATACAGAACTAGGTAAGTGCTTTAACTAATATCATAAAAAAGGAAAAGGGGGGGATGGGGAGAGAGGGAGGGAGAAGAGAGTCAGTGTGACACAGTAGACAGAATGCTAGGCTTGCAGCCAGGAAGATCTGAGTTCAATTTCTGCTTCAGACATTGACTAGCTGTGTAACCCTGGGCAAGTCCTTTTACCTCTGTAAAGCCCAGGCCCCATGTATGGCAGATGGGCCTAAGAGCATTCACCTCCCAGGACACCAGGAAGGATCAAATGAGACGCCATGTGCGCTCTGTGCCCTGCAAATCTTAAAGTGCTCTATACCTGTAGGCTAGCATCATCAGCATTATTATTAAATTAAAAACTGAGTCTCAATAAGAAAAACTTTCAAGTGTCGACAACATTTAAGAAACGTGCAAAAGAAACATTAGTATTTTCAGTCTTCAAAGCCGTCATTTGATGTCTCATCTGATGCTTGTAACTGCTCGTTTCTTCACTGACACACCACGGCAGAGATCACCACAAGACACTCAGCACGAGGCCTGGAGGCAACGCCACATGAACAGATGGAGCCAACATTGCAGTATTTCCAAAGGGAAGGACGACCCAGACAGAGCGAGCCGCGATGACGCAGTGACAACGGACCAGGCCACGCAGGCTCCACGGACTCGAGCAGAGACCAAGGAATCGACACGCACCACCTCCCACAATGCCCTGTCCGGGGGGCTTCAGGAAGACAGGTCCTAAGTCTGGTAACAGGTCAGAGGAAGAAAGCTACTGCAATGCCCTCTGCTTTGACCACCTTCCTTTACACTCTATGATGGGAATGGAAAGTGAGGTTAACCCCGGGGTGTGAAGCCATTAATGCTCGCCTGAGGACAAGCACAAACTTCCAGCTCCTCAGCTCTGCTGAAGAGGGTCAGGGACAGCCTCGAGAGGAAGAACACAGCTGCTTGTCCCCTGCATTGCAGGTGGGGCACAGCTTGGACCCTGGGGCACATGGGGCTCCTTCCAACAGAGAGCTGGGGAGTCATTTCAGTTTAAGACTAATATGGCTACAATATCTACACACTGAACGGGCTACAGAAAAAAGAGCACCTGGCAGAGACAGGCACTTACCTGTATCTACATTGGAAAAGTTAGGTAAAAAAATTATTATAAAAGGGATACTGTGCTTTTCTACTCTTGCTGTTTTCTCTTAATCCAGATAAAACATAATGAAAATAAATATATAAAGAAGAAATATAGAAGCTATCTTCATGGGGGGGGAAGCGCTGGACTAATAGTAAGGGTTCACAGCACGGCTCTGGTATTTACTGCCCGTGTGGCCTGAAGCAGGTCCCTGGCCATCTGGGGTCACTGGGATTCCCCCACAGCCTTCCTTTCCCACTTGGTCCCAAGCAGAAGGTCATTCTGCCATTGCCAAGCCCGATGTAGAGAAAACACTGGTAACATTAACACCCAGGTGCATAAAGACAGCTGCAGAACTCGCACTCCCCTTGCTCTGAAGGAGCTCCATGGGGAGCATGCAGAACAAGGCCCTCCAGGCGCAGGCGCAGGCTTCCCAGCTCCTGCTGGCGCTGTCTGAGCCAAAGCAATAAGCTGCGGCCCAGGTCAGGGTGCATCCATCAAGGAGATGACGGAGGTGACGACGAAGACTCCCCAGACTCTCTGGACTTGAAGCCATCCCTTCCTGGCTCAACAGATGGACTCTCTTACTACTAAACGCTCCCTTTGCACAGGAGTCCAAAGACTTCCCTAGAAAGAAGACGAGTTGTGGTGGCGGAGCCATCGGAGGCCAGCTCCCAGGAGCAGAGGAGGCTTGCCACATGTGGCGGATGGACTTTGGGACAGTGGCATCTCTCCTCGTCAGCTCTCCCCTGGGCTTTCTTCTCGGAGGCCGGATGCCCACACACCAGCATGGGCTGGAAGGGAGAAGAGTGGAACATTTCCTCTATCGTCTGATGTTTTCAAGGCGTGGACTAATTTTGCTGAGCAATGAGCTACAGTGCAAAAAGGGGAATTGAGGCCTGCTGTCAGGAGAAACTCTCCAACAATCCTGGACGACAAGAGCTGTCCCAAAGTGGAGGAGATGCCCCAGGAGATGGCGGGATGACGCCTCACCAGAAGCCCTCTGGCAAAGCCAACACTCACTCATCAAGGAGCACGTATTTATAGAGAGCAGGGATGGGCTGGACTAAACGGCCTTCAAGGTCCCTTACTATCCCATGAAGGACCAAGAAAAGTTAGAAGCTATAACACCAAAGGCCTGTCAGCTGCTCCACGACATTCCACCATTTGTAGAACTTAAAGAATGAGAAGGGACCTTAGCAATAATCTAGTCCAACCACCTCCTTTCACAGGGAGATGAGGTGACGTGCCCAGCTGGTGAGTGGCCAAAGAAAGGCCGGAATCCTGGCTCTTACCCTGGTGCTCTGTCCACCATCCCATGCGGTCTTTTCTTGCCACAGTTTCTTAGACAGCATAATATAACTTGCTCTGCTTTACTGTTCCCTCCGTGAAAAAAAATGAGTATTAAAACATTCTACACTTTCAAGGCAATTAATTCGTGATGACCATGAACATTCCAACAACTGAACCCTGATGGTGAAGTACTTACAGCATGTCCGAGCACTGCGTGAGCGATCTCATGGCCCAAAAGAAAAGTCAACTGGTGAATGTCAGTGACTGCCTCAAGGAGTCCCGTGAAAACAAACACCTGCCCTTTCTGCACACACACAAAAAGAAAGAACAACCACACTGTGAGCTGCAAACAGAGGTCACCAATCTAACACTGAAATCTAATCGGAAGAAACGTACTCACGGGCAAGACAAAGGCATTTATGCTGGGCCTATCCACCATGTGAATGATCCACCTGAAGTCAGAGATGCCCGGGATGTCTTTGTTGCTTTCTACCAGACGCTGCAAAACTTCTTTTACGGCCAGGTACCTGGGATCTTTCTCGGTCAGCAGGTCATTTTTAAATTCTTCCATCCACTACACGATTAACAAAGAAAGAGGTTGTAATTGTAGACACTGTTAATGCTGTAAACCAGTTCAAAATGTTTTATGGGAAAAGAGCCTGCTGCCAACAGTTCACTATTTCAATTCTGCTTTTTAAAGATGTATGCAAAGATCTACATACATTAAATCACAGTTCTAAATTCTTGAAATTTGAATTATTCAGGTTAAATTAATATACTTCATTATCTTGAACAACTGTTAATGATTAAGATTTTTTATCTGAATCATTTTAAATTAAAATGAAATTCATCTTTTTTTATTTATGCATATGAAAACAAGAAACACATTTAAATGGTTTTTTATTCTGCTAACTGTAAAATAATGTATGAAATGAAACTTTGTATGGAGAAAACATTTTGTCATCAGGAGAAAAATGAGTATCACAGAGAAAAGTGAAACACAGAAGATAATTATTTTTATGGTTCAGTGGACTGAAAATACACTGAACTTAACCGGGCTTGGGGGAGGAGAAGAAGAATCCCTAAATGTATCATTAATTTAAAGTTTTATTCACACACACTGATGGAAGATTATTGAAATTTCAGTATTAATAGATGTGCCATTTTCTCCCCAGGTTACTGATGAAATACCACCACGATTAAGAACCCTTCCTTTCTTCCACAAAGCTGGACAAGAGTTTACTTTGATGAAATTCAGGATACTTGGGGCAGATAATTTCATCTACTTAAGACAAAATATGAATTTTCCCTTCACATGCCTATATTTTCAAAATTTTCCTGTAACATGCCACATTTTTCAGTGGGTACTTAATTTTTTTAAAAAGTCATCTTAGCATAGTCACACAATATTTTGAACCTCCTTCTCCCCCCCCAAAAAAAAAAACAATGGTTTTCAAAATTGAGTAAACTTTATGATTTGTTTGAGGACATTTTTCTTAATAATGAATATATTTTATTTCACAAATATTCTGGAATGAAATAAATGAAGCCTATTAAAAATAATGCACAGTTACTTGTAACAACTTATCTCAGAGTATGACACATGTTAAAACACAGAATAAATAAGGCAATTATATTAACCTGGTTTGAAGTAGGTATTCAAATGAAATTACCATTACTAGGAGAAAAGCTCTCTAGCAGTAAATATAACATTAGCACCTTATAACTTTATGATAATGTTCTCTCACAGGCATTCATGTTTGTTTTCCCTAATCAGTCCTTGGGACACCGTTAAAGAAATTTCACTGTGAGAAAAACATTAGAACATAAAGCAGCATCAGTTGAAATACATTCCAAAACTACTTTCAGTTCAGAAACTAGTCAACATCATATCATTCATAAGACCATTTGACTTGTAGTTAACAACAGTCTAAATGTTACTTATTTAGAATATAATGACTGAATTATACATGAATTAATAAACTAAACATGACATTAAGTGTCACAAATGACTGCAGAGAAGCTTGTGCTAACCAGCCTTTCGGGTGAACGCCTCCCCTCATCTACACCTCCTGTTTCAAGGGGCCATGATTTCATTAGCACCATGATTTCATCAGATCCCCTGAAATCAAGATGGCAACTATGCTAGGCCTTGGGATTTTAGAGCTGCTGCTATGGGCAAGGTAATTTATCAGTCAATAGACAACTGTGAATAATTTGCCTTCCAAACTTACTTAGCCTACCTGGTTCTCAGACAACAAAGTCTTTCTTATGCTTTCATAGACCGTCTCCATGAGCAGCCATGGTAGAAAACAACGACAACAACAACAGCTCTCTGCAGGCAGCCTTCTGGCAATGAGCTTCTCCAAAGGCGGCCTAGCAGTCCCTCAGAGAACAGACCTATACAGCTGGCTGCTGCCAGCTCTAATCAAGTCGTTCTCCTACTCAAGCACCTCTGAGGGCTCCTTTGAGCCTCTTTTAAAACCCCTGACAACCTAACAGATGGCTCCAGCTGACCTTTCCAGACTCTGAGCATGCTTCTCTCCTCCGCTTCAGCCAAACTGGCCTGTTTACTATTTCCTCTTCATGCCATTCCGTATCCTGTCTCCACACGTACACAGGCTGTCCTCTAAGCCTGGAATGCTCTCCTTCCTTGCCTCCTCCTCCTAGAACGCCTGTAATTTTCTTGCAAAGCTCAGTTCAAGGTCTGGCTCCTACCCTAATCCCCCCTCCCCCGGAAATTACTTTGAATCTCTGTATTTGGATTTGGGGTCCAGATATGCCTTACACACACTTGGTGCAATCTGTCCACATTTGTTGTCTTTGGTCCTTGAAGCATATTCTTCTAAGTATGAACAGGATGATACTTTGAGGGTCTAAGCACGATGGCAATTCCACTGTCCCTGATGGGGGAAATCTTTTGTTACAGTAACTTCACAGATCTTTTCCATTTTTCTTGTTTGTTGTCTTCCTTCCATAAATGTTGTTCAGTGTCCTTGGGATGATTTTGCTTTTCTGGATCTCTTGCCAAACTTCCTCTAATCTGGTTTTACCTTCCAGTGCACGTCCTTGCTTTAGAAAAAATGTGCTTATAATTTTCCATCCTTTGTAAAACTTTTACTAACAAGTTTATATTCAAAACCAGTGTTACCTTTGGGCTACATCTTTCTCTGCTTTGCAAATAAGTGAAATGTCCGCTGACTAAAATGTTTTCTGCGCTTGTTTGATCTTCTAACACAGTAGCGGTCACATGTGCCTATGACACAGTACTAAGGCTTATTTTACAGATGATAGAACCAGGTCATAGAGATGGAGTGAGTTGTCCAAGGTTACACAGCTAGCAAATGTTAGAAGCTACAAGTGAACACCAGTCTCTTTTCTCTTCCCACCAATGGATCTTTAATGGGCGCTCTTCACCTGAGACTTTAGAAAACATATTTTAGGCTTCTTAGGAGGAAAAACAAATGCCATAGACCCATCTTAACCCAATTTCACAAAACTTAATCCAATTCAACAAACATTTATTAATTATCTACAATGTCCAAGAGGATGGTACTGGGAAGATAAAATGTAAAAGTGAAACAATCCCTAACCTCAAGGGCTTAGACTTCAGTGGGAATAAGTCTATGTAGACTACAAAGTGCCCTGACAACACGTATAAGTATGATATGAGAACGCAGGGGAAATCTTAGAGGGAAGGGGCCTGCCTCCAGAGAAGCAGCAGAGCTCCTGGCCCTTAGGTGGAGCTGGACTGGGAGTGAGGAGACTTCACCCAGACATTTACTAGCTAAGTAACTCTGGGGGCTGGGGTTTCATCCACAGCAACCATCAGCATAGCACCTGTCCCAGGATCGTTCTGAGGATCAAACAGACCAATGGATAGAAAGAGCGTGGCACACCTTAAAGCACTCTATCGATATGTGCTCCTGTTCTCCTTGTCCATCCGTTAAACTGTCTCTGATTCAACTAGAAGCAAGTCTGAAACCCTGAAGACCTTTCAACAAACTGTCATCACTGACGTCAGGAGGGATAGGTCCCATTTACCTCGGCGAGCCCACAGCATCGCCAAGAAACGACATGCACACAGTAGGTAGTTCCAAAGTGTCAGTGAAGCAACTCAAGACAAACTTTGTTAAACACAGTACGGAAGCTTGCACTTCTCCAGAGACACAAGCCTCTTCTGTAAAATGCCTTCCCACTGAGAAGTGGGGAGGGCATGTTTGCATCAACCTTATCCACCTTTAATGTACAGCTAAGAAAGTTTTAACTCTTTGGACATTCAACTCCCTAGGATACAATGACCCCACCCACAGAACTAACTAAGGTTTCTAAACACCAGGATCATTTTTTTCCAACATTAACAGAAAAATCAACACATTCTGCAACTGCCTGGCAGGATGGAAAGACAGACTGAGAACTGGCAAACACAAGCAATAAGGCCCCAGCCCTGGCCCAGGCCTGAGAACTCCAAGCCATGTCTCTGGGCTCTGAGGCCGACCCACGTCTCACACAGGCCCTTCTGGACTCACTTTAAATGAAAGGTTATGTCAGGAACATTCTAAAAAGAGGTTTTTCACTCTTTTTACTACTTACTGCATCATATTCCATTTGCGATAACATCATGAATTGCTCCTTCCCCAACACTAGTAACTTTTTCCGTCCTGTGACTGGACTCTCCTCCAGGTGAGTAAAATAAAAGACAACAAACAACACTCCCAAACTACTCAAGCCCAGGAATAACTTCCATTTATTCTTCTTTACACTTTCTTTAAATAGCTCTTTCTTGTTGGGAGGAAGGGTCTGCCACCATTTTCTTATGCCCCTGTTGGAAAGGAAAAAAAATTACAAATTACAGGGAATAAATAACATCAAATATACCAAGTAAATACCAAATACTTTTTATTAGAATTAAATACACTTAAGAGATCTCTTTTGGTTATTTTTTTTTGTAGAGATCTCTTTTGGTTATTTTTTTTGTATCATTCTGTACAGCGGCTATTCATCTTACAAAGCTCTTGACTAAAAGATAACAAAGAGCCAAGTAACACATGACTACACCATCAAACCTTATTCTAAATTGAAATTCTTCAGTTATTCTGAAGCAATCCAAATTTATTAAGAATTGGATACCGAATCTCAGATCAGTTCAGATTCTGGGAAACCACTCCCTGAATCAGAAGCTGCCAAACATCTGGGAGGCTTCAGATCTCCCTCGGCCCAGTGGACACAGACAAAGCCTCAGCACAGCACCGTGGTCCCATTCGTGAGCCCTAAAACTGACTACCAATACATTCAGTGGAGAGTTCCCACCTCTCTGAAAAAGGATGAGTTTTGTTTCACTGTCTGCTTAAAAAGTGGGAAGGAGGGGACACAGAAAATTGGGCAAACAACAGATAGCTATTCCATACAAGGAGAAAGGGGCGTTTCCCAGGCACCATGATTCCAAAAAAGGTCCATGAGACTCCTTTTCTATTAGACTGGAAACATTTCAACAACAACACATAATGCATTAAAAAGAAAAAGTGTGGTTTTTTTATATTCCCTAAAAATGCATTTTTAAAATTATAAAATAAATGGGAAAGTTCAGAATATTCACTATAAAACCCAGAAAAAAGCGTTTTACAAATAATCTTTTATAATCCCTATCTCAAACCTTTCCCTATGACAATCTCTTTTTCACTCGGCTGCCAAAGTGATTTTCCTGAAGCATCTGATCGTGTCACATCCTCCTCTCCCTCCAATAAACTACAGTGGCTTCCTGTTACCCCTCTCTGCTGAACCTGGCTCCTCCTCCTTTCCAATCTCCTCACACTTGAGCTCCCATTCTGTGTTCCAGCCACACTGGCCCCTAAACTCCCTGTTCTGCACCCACGTCCACACCATGGTAGTGGCTGGCCTTGGGCCTGGCATGGTCTCCTTCCTCACGGCTCTCTTCCTCCAAGATTCAACTCAACGCCTCTTTCCTCATGAAGCCCTTGCTAATGCTCCCAGCAGCTAGCACCCTCCCTCCCAAAATGACCTTGTATTATACTTTTGTACACAGCCTGTGTAAACTCATACAGGTATTTTTTATCTCCCCCATTAGACCGTAACCTTCTAATCTGAATCTTACACCATATTCCACATTCGGTCTAAAATGGATTCGTAACCTGAGCATTAAAAATCGTACCATAAAAAAACAAAGGAAAAACAAATGACCGACCTTTCACACCCATGAGTAAGGAGCGAAACCCTAACCAAGCGAAGGAGAGAGGCGATTACAAAAGATAAAACAGGTAACTCTGAATACATGAAATTGAAAGGCCTTTGAATAAACAAATTAACAAACCAGGAAAGATAAAAAAGGGAAATGTTTAGCTGGGCCAATCTTTGCATCAAATACCTTTGATAAGGGTCTGATATCCAAGATAAAGAGATAAGAAGCAGAAGTACCTGAGCAAAAGCCATTCTCCAAAAGGCACCTGGCCAAAGGATGTGAACACGCTGTTCACAAAAGAAATGCAAACTATTAACAACCATATGAAAGAACGCTCTACAGCCACAACAAAAGCAGCCAGAAACAGGGTTCACTAGGCCATGAACAAGGACCCCTCATGGGCCACACACTGACTAGGAAAATCACGTATTCACATTAGCTATGTTTTCGTGTATTGTTGCTTATTTTGTTAAATATTTCCCAAGTACCTTTTAATCTGGTTTGGGCTGCACTGGGGAGTATCGCACACCATATGTTTGACACCTCTGTTCCAACTCACTAATAATATGAGAAATGCAAATAAAACAACCTTGAGGTTTCACCTCACAGCCAGCAAAGTGACAAAGATCACACAATATGGGAACAGTTCATTCTGGAGGGGCTGTGGAAACACAAAGCACATGAATGCATTACTAACGCAGCTGTAAAGTCATCCAACCACTGGAATTGTAGAAAAAAAATACAAGTGCCCAAAGCATCCATATACATTGAACCAGAGATTTCACTGTTAGGGACATAAACCAAGGAGATCAATGACAAAAAGAAAGGCCCCACAAACATCTCACAACGGAGAGCAGCGCTTTTTGTGACTCAAAGATGGGAGACCAAGCGCGTGGAACATCACAAATAAAATCAGCTTTTGATGACAGATTAGCTAGTTTTGTGGGGTTTTTTTTCCTTCTTCCTCTTTTTATTATTCTCTCTTATAAAGGATGGTTCTCTGGGAGTGGGTGAGATGCAAAAGGACATGCAGGTGATACAAAAACAAAAGATATCAATAAAAATTACTGAATTTTCTCTGAAAGGTTTGTATTTATCTTCATATCCCGGGACTTAGCACAAAGCTTCACACATAAGTTAGTTAGTAAATGCTTTAGCTTGTGGGCCTGGTTTTGCCAAGTGAGGTACAACACACAGCTATACTTGAAAAGTCTTCAGACAAAGCATCTGAATGGATATGGCATAAGTTTTATTTTGAAGGACATCTACGATACATTTTAAAATAAATCAAATAAATCTCATATCAGAAAATTAGGAGCCTGAAAAATGACATCTGCATTTTCTTTCCTTAAAAAAGTTTCCCAATATTTCTGTCCTAGTAGATGCTAGAATTAAGTTCTTTCTTTCACTGCTATCAGTCTTACTTGGCTGAGCAAATACTGGTTTTGACATTCCTGTTTCCAATGTCCTTGAAATTAATGTGACATTGCACATTACCAGACATTCACATACAGCTCTGGAAATTAGGTTGGCTTCTCTCCTGTGCCTCTAATGGTGGAATACATATCATAAACCAAAACATATAAAAGGAACAAAGCTTCATGTTATTGAGAAAGAGCCAATGATTCCCACTTTTGTGACATAATATTTTCTGAGAACACACAAGTGAATGGAGTACGTACTTATTTTCTTAAGGATTTTCAACCAAGCTTTTAATGGAAAAATGCTAAAATGTCGGTTTTGCTTCCCTGTACATTACGACGGATGGTTCTGAACAGAGATGCGCGCCAGCATTGCTGATGCTCACGGAGCCATGGCACTCATGCATTCTGATCAAACATCCATGAAAACCATCAAATCAACGAGTAAAGACAGTAAGAAAAAAGCCCAGAGGTTTACTAGGCATTGTGAAATTACTGGAATATCAACTGTGAGACAGAAAAAACAGGAATTGATTCTCTGTCCTGGTTGTACTTTATCTCACACCCCCTGACTCGCAGACTGTAGTGGAGGAGTCAAAATATTCTTTCCAGACCTTGCCCACCTTCACTTATCACCTTCTCCTCCTCTGAGGTTTTTGGATCAAGTGAGGGGTTTGGAAGGATGGGAGCCATTGTGGCCTGCTTGTGGACCTCTGGGAAGGAGCTGGTAGATCAGGAGAGCGTGATGGTAAGAAAGAGAGTGGAGATCAGAGTGCAGCGGGTGACTGGAAGAGCCGAGGAGGGATTGGTTCAGGGACAGATGTCAAGGAGACTGCCTTTTGTCTGAGACTGGAATGAATTTATCACCCGAATCACACCCTTTTGGCTCTTATCACCTTGCATCCTCCATGACTTCAGTGCCTGGGTCACAGTCTTTCTTTCCTCTCCATCTCCTGCCCTAATATTTGGGGACCCCTTCAAGTACCCCAGCTTCTCCCACAACCAACTCCTCCACTCCACCTCACTTCACCACCCCCTACACTGCTCTACTTCCATGTTTGTGAAGTCTGAAACTCTTTTCTCTGATAACAATCATTTTTCACTGCATTATTCTCTTGCCTCACAACACCCTTCCAACCTCATACTTCCTCCCCACCATGATGTCCAATCTGTCCACCCCTGTGTCCTTTCCTTCACTATCACCCTCCCACTCCCCTCTCTTGACCCCTTGGTTAGCTGACTCAGCTCTACACTCTCCTCTATCCAGGATGCCCTCCAGCCTTGTCCTACGGCCAATCACACCTGGCCAAGCCCCAATACTGACTGTGGGCACTGCCAACTTCTTGATTCCTTAAAGAAGATAAAGGAAATCACAAAACTGCTGACTGGGCCCTCCAGAAATGTATGTCATCTGCCTTCAAGTGGGCCCTCACTCTAACAAAATAGACACTCTATTCCTCCCAAACTGATTTGCTATCCCATGCTCCACAGCAGCTTTCCAAACCTACTCATCTCTCCTCTAGCCTCCCACAGCATGCCCTTCCCCTACTGTCTTAGCTGGGGCACCCCTGCCCAGACAGCCTGGCCCTCTCCCTTCCTCCTCTCACATACTTGCACTTCTATCCCCACCATCTCCCTCTTCATTCCAGTCTCAGACAAAAGGCAGACTCCTTGACATCTGTCCCTGAACCAATCCCTCCTCAGCTCTTCCAGTCAACCGCTGCACTCTGATCTCCACTCTCTTTCCTATGATCACTCTCCCCTGATGTACCAACTCCTTCCCAGAGGTCCACAAGCAGGCCACGATGGCTCCCATCCTTCCAAACCCCTCACTTGATCCAAACATTCCTGTTCCCTATTGCCCCATGTTTCTTCTTCCCTTCGTGGCTAAACTCCTTAAGAAAGTCATCCACACAAGTTTCAGTGAAACCTGGGAAGACCTGTACAAAGTGATGCAGAGTGAAGTGGGTGGACCGTAGGAGAACAGTTTATATAATAACAACCCTGTAAAAGCAAATAACTTTGAGAGACTCAAGATCTCTGACTAACACAAGGACCAACCATGATTTCCTAGAATGATGATGAAACCTGCCACCCACCTCCTGAAAGAGAGACAATGGACTCGGTGCAGAATGAGACCGATGTCTTTGACGTGGTCCAAGTGGGAATCTGGCTTTGTTGCCTACGTGGATTTCTTACAAGGAT